GCTTGTTAGCAATTTAGACATAGAAAGGCAGGTGAACGAGCCGACTAACCGTCGAATTCCTCGTAGAAACGCAGGATGACGGACGCGGCCAGGAGGTCCACGTTATGAATTTCCGTGTCATCTGCTGACATCAGATGGGAAATGCAGAGAGACTGGTAATTGAGGGCCATTCCATCCCCAAGATTGGGGAGATGTCTCCCCGCAAAGGCGACCGGGCGGGTCCCTGTGGATTGCCAGCGGCCGAGGTGTCGTGCAGCTGCCGAGTAGACAGCGTAGAGCAAGGCTGGACACTGGACCGCGCGATCGGGCATTACAAGGGCAAAATGTTTACCAGCATCGCAGGAAGTGAACTGCATCCAACAAACTCAGGGGCTGCTTTTGCTGAGGATTGCGATAGTAGACCTTACCCATGGGGCCAGCTCTTCAACAAAGTAGCGCATCAAGCATGCTTCCTGCACGGCCCGATCGGACCATATCGACGGTTCCGGGAGTTGAGAAGAATTGTCCATTAGGCTGGCATTATATCGGTTAGAATCTAGTAGACTTTGCACCGCCATGGCTGAGTGATCTGTAGTAAGCTGTTGATCCAGGTCAGATCGCAAAGGGTAACTGGCGGGGTTATGCGGGGTGAGGTCACGGGACCATGATACCCCCCCCACCAAGTTGACATTTCAGGGACCATCTCTTGTTTGAACCACTCTCTATATTGTCTATCGTCTATCGTTATGTATCTATGGTCTATAAGCTCCCGCTGTCCATTCACAACCGGGAAGAGCTCTTCAGCTTAGCCTCCAATCTATGGCCGATCTGTGGCTCCACCCGGCTGAACATGGCAATCGTGGCCTTCTGGATCTCCGGCACCACTCCCTCCAAGGCTTCCGCCACGTTGTTTACCCAGAGGCTGCGCTCCGCCTCATCGAACACGTTGTTCCACAAGGCACGGGGCTGCACAAAGTCCTCGTCGTCAACGGGGATCTCGTTGAGACCCAGAACCGCGCCGGAGCGCAGCCACTCGTGGTGGCGCACCTCCTGCACCGACTGGCTGAACACGCCAGGGGTCAGGGTGCTCTTGATGTAGTTCGGGTCGCCACCGTAGTTGCGGCCCATGGTGGCCAGACCGTCACGCTCGTAGGGCGCATACACGGGGCAGATGGCCCGGTTGGGCGGCAGCTGCGTGTAGTTGACTCCCAGACGGTAGCGCTGGGCATCGGGGTAGGCGAACATACGCGCTTGGAGCACTACAGAGGATTAGTTCCACTCATCATCTACATCACACAATTTGAAAGGAGAAAGCTTACTAGGATCAGGGGTCACGGCGATACCCGGCACCAGGTTGGAGGGCGAGAAAGCGGCCTGCTCGATCTCGGCGAAGAAGTTCTCGGGCTGATCGGCCATCATTAGCACGGCGGCACTAATAGAAAAGTAGGACTGTGCTCAGATCACTACTTACGTTGCGGTTCAGAGTCATCTCGCCGACCTCGATCAGAGGGAAGTCCTTGTGCGGCCACACCTTGGTGATATCAAAGACGGCGCGGCCGTAGGTCTCAGCCTGCTCGGGCTCCATCACCTGGATGTAGAACTTCCACTTGGGGTAGTCACCGCGCAGGATGGCCTGGAAGAGGTCCTCGTTGTGGAAGTCGGGGTTGACACCAGCCATGCGAGTGGCCTCCTCGGGGGTGAAGTTGTGGGAGCCCAGCACAGGTCTGAAGTGGAACTTGCAGTAGCGGAATTTGCCGTCGTGACCCACCAGCTTGAAGGTGTGAATACCGAAGCCGGTCATGCGGCGTGCGGACTGGGGCAGACCGCGGGAGCCGAAGACGTGCATCAGGGTGTGGACACTCTCAGGCTGGTTGCTGTGGAAATCCCAGTACTAGATACCCAGTTAATCGGCAAGGTCGACAAATCAGGATGGTGGTCTAAAGAGGTTGAACTTACCATGTTCATGTCGGGAAGACCGGTGGTAGGGTGCCTCTTGTGACTCCGGTTCAGGGAGGGGAAGCGAACGGGGTCACGAACGAAGAAGACGGGCTACTACAGGTGAGACGATGTCATAGGTCCACGAGAAACAAGTCAACTTACCACATGGTTGCCGACAATGTCGTGGTTGCCCTCCTCGGTGAAGAACTTGACGGAGAAGCCGTGCACATCACGCACGGTATCTGCGCTACCCTTCTCACCACCGGTGGTACTGGCGCGGAAAAGCACCTTGGTGGTCTTGCCAACTCCGTTGAGGAACTTGGCGTGGGTGAGGTGGGAGATGTCCTTGGTGACGCGGAATTCACCCCAGGCACCATTACCCTTGGCGTGAACAACTCTGTTGAATGAATTGACGAGGTTAGTGGACGAAAGTGCCGATGAGCGGTGGGTCAGCCGGAAGGGCGGCCGTACCTCTCCGGAATCCGCTCCCGGTTGAAATGGGTCAACGTCTCGATCAGCAAGGTATCACCCAAGGTGGTGATGGCACCGCCGCCAAAGGTCGGCAGGGTGGTGCTGACGGAGGGGTTGGGCAGGGGTTGACCTGGAGGCACATTGTTAGAGGAGACATTGGACAGATCAGAGAAAGGATACGTGTCACCTACCCTCGGCAAGGGTGTAGACGGGCTTGGACATGATGATGGACGTGAGATTAAAGTTTCCGGGAATAAGGGAGGATGCGCTAGTAAAGCTATCCGCGAGGAGGATCCAAAGGGGGTCAAAGAAGATGTCCACAGAGCCGGCTCTGAGGGATGGGGTTTACGGTGCACACGAGAAGAGGAAGAAAAGGGTCACTGAAGACAGAAATAAAAAGAAACATCCTGACGCTGAAAAGCCCCCAAGATAAAAATTTTCCCTCCCGGCCGCCCTTTAGCGCCAAAAGTGGATGAGGCCGTATCTAGGACCCGACGGTTGGTGACAGCTCGACACCCGCTGGGCCAGATCTAACTGCTAACAGTATAAATTAGATAACTCGGGCCAAGTTTAACCAGTTTAGGGCTTGTCCCCTCATGAGGGGTGAGGGGTTCGTCGGCCCGTGAGGGGTTTCTTTTGCGTAAGTTTGCTTTCCCGCCCTTCCGATTGGTCGGTGAGCCAGAGCCTCTTCTGTAGTCACATGACAGTCATCATGCACGTGCCCGGCTCCCATCCGAGGAACTGCCGAGAAATAATCAGCGGAAGATAGGGAAACGGGAAGATAAGGCATTCGAGATACAGTGGACAAGCCAGACAGCTTAATGTCATTTGAGATATTCGTATCATATCTCTTATATGATAGGTAACGATTACTAGTAGTATCCACCGAACTCAGTAGTCTGCATGCGGACAGCCCCTGAAGTTTATAAAGCAGAGTTCAACATGTATGTTCACTATCTCACGAGTTCATGATAGGCTTATAGTTGCAGCAGAAGTACTGCGATTGGTTGCAATTACCGGCCACATTCGCTTCACATATTGCGGAGACAGCTCATTGTTCATCAGTATCTGTTCCTCTTCGAGCAAATTTTAAGATTTAGGGCAAAAGGCATAACTCAGATCCATGCGCTATAATATCGGGCATCGGGCGATGTCAGAATAGCAGAGAGAGTGACCGGCAACGGTCTTCTCTATATCAGCTTTAAGACATTGGACATGGTCACAAAGTCATGGAAGGATCAGCGGTGTGTGAGCCCTGGGTAAGGCCGAGGCCTTCTCAAAAGCCGCCTAGCCTGCCTTTTCTGGCAAGCTTAGCAGCATGATGCCGGCTAGAGCACCCTAGTAAGATCAATGAGAAATTGTGGTTATGGCCAGTATGACGATGCAATTTAAAAGACGATGCGAAGGTCTCGTGTACAGGGAGAAAGGTGTTACCCCGGGATTTACGACAGGTCGAAAGAGACCCGTACCTGACACATTTGGGGAATGCCGATCATGCTTCTGTAACCCATGAAATCATGTAACTGGGCTAGATTGTGGGGTATGCCAAGGTTAGGCTATGGTAGCAGATTAATTCATCTTCTCTAAAAAATATCTGCCACGCCATGCAAGTTGGCGTCTCTATGGAGTCACTGTGAAACTGTTGATGAGCACCATTTGATGCTGAGATAGAGCGGTACTTTGAGTCGTATACTTGCGTAATTTCCCTCACCCAACTTCACAGAAGCTTGAAGTCAATGAAATGAGGATGTTTGTATGTCACACCCTTGGCATAAATTATCTGAAACAGGAAAATCACTAAACAAGCAGAACGGCTTCATCCGGTAATATGTACGATAGAGATGCACATATGCCCGTGTCAAATGTCACAGCCAAGTCGCATCATAGGAGGTCTTGTCGCAAAGGATCATCATTGGCATCAACAGGCTAAATGTAGATGATGCAACATTACCTACTTCAACGTTAAAGATCATGTGACGTGAATTGAAGATAGCGCTTTTCCCTCCCATTATCCAAAATGGATGTAACACATAGGAATCGTGTTCAGCAACCTTCACAATGATGTCGGGTTGATGTTCCGCCTCATATGGTGAAGGCTGTACCTTCTGTGCCGAAGGACCTCGGCCCCACCCCACGGGGACGGGAACAAGGATCACCAAGAGGGGCGATCTATGCCCTTATGAGTGGGGAAGGAGCGACAGACTTCTTGATAGACGATATGGGTTAGTAGTCCGCAAACATAGATCGCGGTGGAAGAAGCCTGTAGAACGCGGATTCTGTGACGGACTATCTGTGAGAGTATCACCAAACGCAAAAGGAATTCGGAAGCATGTGCCATTCCATGAATTACCAGACCCTCCGGCTGAGTCCGACGGCCTTACTCCTCCTCATATCACACCCTTTCGTCAATTGCTTAGTTTGTGATGGTAATGCACTGACCTATACTCGGACTTCTGGCCGACTTCCGAGGGCTGTTGCGGACCGCCGAGTGGAGCCGATAGAGTTGTATGAACATTACTTACCGTAGCTCTTCATCATATAAGCAAGCCATTGTCCGATGGTAGTTGTAGGTCTCTCCCCATATTTCTGATTACCTTGATCAAATAGTAAATAGGACTTCAACATGACGGTCCGATACTTGAAAAGCAAGTCACAACCCCCGAACTCAGCTGCGACACCTCAAGTGGACGTGAGTAGCGTTGTAAAGGGGGTAATTGACGACGTCCGTGCCAATGGAGATGCAGCAGTCCGCAAGTACTCGGAGAAATTTGACTGCTGGTCGCCAGCCTCGTTCAAACTCTCCCAAAATGATATAGATGCTGCCCTGGCGGCCTGTTCGCCCCAAACGATTGCCGACATCAAGGAGGTGCAGAAGAACGTTCGTGCCTTTGCGCAGGCCCAGCGAGACTCTATTCGCGATTTTGAGTATGAGATCCAGCCGGTAAGCCCATCCAGCTTGTGAAAATTAAATGGAACATGTGCCTGTGAAGGCACTACTGACCAGTTCAAGGGAGTGCACCTGGGCCAGAAAAACCTTCCCATCAACAGCGTTGGAGCGTACGGAATAACCCAACTTCTAATTGTTGAACCCCATACTTAATCGATGACACCAGGTACATCCCCGGAGGACGCTACCCGCTGCTAGCATCCGCCCACATGACGATTCTGACGGCCAAGGTGGCTGGTGTGCCTTATGTGGTTGGCTGTACTCCCCCAATTGCCGGCCAGATTCCCCATGCCACGGTGGTCGCGATGCATCTGGCTGGAGCCGATGAAATTCATCTGCTTGGCGGCGTTCAGGCGATCGCGGCGATGGCGGTGGGCACAGAGACTACGGCGGGCAATAGCGGCCATCGGGCAAATGCAATTTTTGGTGTTTACTGCCGGCAGAATGAGTAGGAAGTCTGATTGGATCGCGTAGCTTATCTAATATATCTACTTAAATGAAGCTGTATGTACATGATTAGATGACTTGCTTGGCTTTGCTATTTATATGGTTACTAGTCCTGAGCACTATGAAAAGGTATAAGTCTTGTTCAGAGTATTATATACAGGTATTCTGTATAACTGGAGTATAGGTGCATGTTAATAGATTAAGGAAATAATTAAAATTATATATATCTAGTTATTGATAATGATGGGATTATTATTAATAATAATAATAACTAGCACCTCCTGGATATCCGGATTCTTCTTCTTAATTAGAGGATTCTGATAATGACCAGAAGATGCTGGTATAAATATTATTTTATTTTTTTTTTCTTTTCTTCTTTCTTTTCTCCCTCTCTCTATTCCAGGATAATAGGATTTGTATAAAAGACTTCCAGTACAGGTAATTTTCTACTGATAATAAGTATAAAAAGCTAACTTTTTTATACAGTATTTTATTCTGAATCTCAGATAGAGTAACTGCTATTAATATCAGGCTATTTACAGTTAGTATATACTCTGTTGAATATATCTAGTAAATAATAATATTCTAGAAAGATATTTTCTATATTATTATAATATCTAGTATATAGAGCTGGCGGATAACTTCTCTGAGATTATATTAGAAGAATATTAATATAGCTAGGACAGTGTATTATAATTTAATAAATATAAATCTAGCTGTGATAGAATTTAATAAAATATATTTCTGATTAAATAAATACTTTTCTGTTTATAATAATATATATATATAGGTATAATTAATCTAGATCCCTAGCAGGGATCATAGAATTACAGCTGATTGGGAGTTTTTTATATAATGAATTCCAGTACTAGACTAGCTCAGAAAGAGCTTTAACAGGCAGATAATAATTAATTTAATTAGAGAGAAGAAGAGAAACACTAATATAACTATTTCCAGGATGCAGACTGTTATTATTATTAGTATTACTATATAGATATATTTTAAAGTCAGCTCTGTCCTGTATAATATTTAGATAGAATAAGTAGAAAATAAAGTTCAGTTATCTGATTATAATTATCTAGTATATATACAGATATGGTAGGTAGTGATAATAATAGTATTAATAATATTAATAGTAATAGATATATTAAATATATTAGTAAAGATAAAAGTAAGAAAGATTTTTTTTAAATAAATAATATAATTACTAATTTAATTTCTTATATATAAAGATCTTAATACTATAAATTCTACTATACAGACTAAATATCAATTTATCTAGTATAGTAATATATGTTTAGAGACTTAATAACTTATACTCAGTTATTTAATTCTTATTATTCTTTCTAATTATATACTTTCTTCTTATATAATAGAATGGAGAGGGACTTAGAAATAATTAATATTTTAAAAAAGTATCTACTATTTTTATCTCAGTATCCAGAGTATCAAGCTTATCCTGATTATCTTATATAATTGATTTCTCTTATATAACTGACTTCTTCTTCTTAATAATCTTTTTTTTAATCTTCTTTTTTTTCTTAATTCTAGTCTTCTCTGCTTTATCTATAGTAGATAAAGATATTATATAGTACTGAATAATTATATAAACCTGGTATAATCCATGACTGTATAAGAACTATTTCTTTATAAAATTTATAATCTTTATATTATCTCTGGCTATTGGAGATAGAAAGACTGGTTATTTCTGTATAATCTTTGTTAATAAATAGAATTAATTATTAGGGCTCTGTATATATATATATCCGGCTATAAAAAAGAATAGATTATTCAGAAAGTTATTAAGATTATAAAGTATAATATTATTAATATAATTCTGTATCTGCTCTATAGAATAATTATATTAGTATTATATAAGAAGTAAGAATAAGAAGTTAAACTTAATAAAATATATATAATAACTAGAATATTATCCTCAGATTCTTCTTCCTGTATGTTATACAGGTAGAAATGGATAATAATCTTAATATTAGCTAGTTTCTTTGAAATTTTCTTCTGTATAAGAGTATTCTAGTAAATATTCTCTTCTCTAAATAGTACTGTATGAGGATTAATATCTGAAGAAAAGATAATCTATATATATAAGTCAGATTATATAGATTATAAAGATTATGGCTCAGATAATATAATAAGATTAATATAAGTAGTTTATCTAGATACAGGATTGATTATCTAGTAAGTTAGATACTGTTAATAATAAGCAGGATAAGATTAGCTAATAATAGAATAATAGATAGTCTAGAAAAGAGCTATTTTATATAATAAATGCCTTGTACGAGTAATATCTTATATAAAAGATATTAATTCTTGTTTTATATAGGAAAAAACAGGATCTTAAGACTTTAAATAAGCAGTGAAGTAAAAAGAATAATAAATAAAAAGTATATAATTATCATAGATAACTACTCTAATCCTTATTATTTAATCTAATTAAAGGCCCTGGTTAGTGCTTTAGATAATATTAAATCAGACTTAGTACCTGATTTTATATATATTATTACCTGCTTCCGTAAGCCAAGGTAGATTATATAAAAAGAGACTTTTGCTTTGTCTGGATATATTAATAATAGCTTTTCAGAATTAAAGTCTAGTTCTAGTAAAATTCTCTGATATTATTCCAAAGTCTCTGCAGGTAGATACTCAGCTATATTCTAGTCTTATATAAAGTTTCTTAGCTATTAGAAAGACTTTTTATGTATAAGAAGATTATAGTTAATTATATATTCTGGATAATAATAATTTATGAATAGCTGACTAGAGATAATATATAATTTCTCTTATTATTTTCAGATGCTGTGTTAGTTCCAGATATATATATATAATAAGATCTATATTTAAAAAATAGATATATAGACTGTGTATAAAGTAATCTAATCTGGAATTATATTTTTAAAGAAGTCTCTTACTTTAATTAAGGTCTTGAAGAAGTTCTATATTAGTTAGTATAAAAGTAATTAAGGATTAGTCTGTCTGTATATATATAATATTAAAAAAGTAATGATTTATTTAGTTATATTTATTAAGACTTAATTCTCTGATTTATAATACTGGATTTAAAGATATAATACTATATTATCTTAATCTCTAGCTTATATATTTTTTAAAGATAGTAATAGGCTTTAGTAAGTAAAGATATCTCTGATCTATAGTCTGAATAAATCTTATTATAAATAATCTTTTGTTTATATACAGTATTAAGATACTACTATATAATATTAACTGATATACAAGTATCAATGCTAATATAAATCTAGATAATATAGTAAGAATATATATTAATAGCTGTATAAATTTAGATATTATACAGATCTAGCTTTAAATAATTATCTACAGATCAGATATGATCTGGTCTAAGAATTATATATAAGTTATAACTTTACTATATATTATTCTTCTATTATTATATAATCTTAGGTGTAATTATATAATAGATATTATATAATTATTATCTGGAGAAAGATCTCAGTTAATAAAATATTTATATATAGTTATTCTCTGTACAGACCTTGGAATAATAAGATATTTATTATATATATAAGTAAATAAAAGCTCTTGTTTGTAGTCTTGGATAGTTTTTTTATTATATACTTTAAATAGATACTTTGTAGTTATATCTTCCTGGAATTAATATTTACTAGAATTATCTGTCTGTTATATAAGTTCTTACTCTATATAAATCTATTAAAATATTTATACAGAGACTCTGTAGTCTTTATCTGTTGGCTGGAAATCAGGAATCCTTACTAACTAAAGCAATCATCTCTTAACTACCCAACTCAGCTGAGAATCCCATATAAATTCTATGGGAATCCCAGCTAAGATGGATAACATAAAGATGAATCACTTTTTACATGAAGTCTTGTATTATTGACATCATTCTGATTATTCGACTATTTGATTCTTTATTCACTGTTCCTTACCCCACTTGCTTACCCCGCTTTCTTTGTCTAATGATCAAACTGATGATTCATGACTCTGATCTAGAATCATTCACTGAAAATGATAAATAAGGTCTTTCATCCCCTAGCTGAAGCAAGCAAGCAAGCAAGTTGAATTCATTCACTTCCTATCTAAAG